CTATCTTGTATGTATTGTATTTTAATACGTATATGAAAGCGTTGAAAAAAAGAAACCATACCCAAAACTCTTCAATTTGTGGAAAATAAACGATGTGTGGTCAATGAAAACATTTTTTGTTATTTTTATTCTTGAATCGGGATGTTGTTCTTCTGTCTTGCCTGTAAGTATGGGAAATAAAGCTGCGGGGGTTCCATCGCCAACGATGTTGTAACTGAAATCATATTGTTTTTGAGATAAATTATGACGTTTGAGATATGGAGCAAGGTGCACTTATTTTGGCCAGCACGAATAAATCGCAAGACATTCAAAATTGGATTCTTTCTTTATCGGTAATTGTCAGAAATATGTTCGTAGAGACAGAAAATTGGAGGGAAGTGGCCTCCTATTATGTGTCTCCTATTATGTGGCTCTGACGGTCTTCCTAAAATGTGCTGTAATAGGCGTTGCACCGTAGAGACTTCGGAGTCCTATTGAGAGGAACCTACGTCACTTACAGGTGCGCATGGGACCAGTAATGGGATGAGTAACCACCGCACCAACGGGGGAGATGTTAATAAGATAAGAATCTCACACACCCTAGTCTTTTCCCAAAAAAGCTGGGCGCCTTTTGATGATTTCTCCCCGATATTTATGAAAACTTTCAAAATTGATCTTATGAAGTTGCAGTTTAAATAATAATATGTAAAGATACTGGGAGATATTTTACCCGTTCATGATGATAGCTTTTTCAGATAAGTACTTGAAGCTTTTCGGCATTTTTCTTATAAATCCATTGTGAGATGTAGAATCGAAGGCTAGGATCATAACGTTGTAGGAATCTTTACGATTTGGAGGAACTGGGTATGTCTGCACTGGGCGTAAACCCATTTTAATACCTTCCCATCGCGGTCGCGATGAAAACAAACTGTAACTATAAGAAAAGGTTTATCTTTATAGTATAGGTAGGTACATCTGTTTTTGCTGTGATATGAATATAAAGTATAAAAACTAACCTATCCTTAAATCTACCAGTACATGTCACTCTGACATGGTCACTTATATTAAGTGTATATTTGTCTCGTCCGTTCACTATAGTTTCGTTGGAGAGAAAATATTTTCGATCAGTTACATATATTATATCCTTATAGGCACAACTGACATCAGTTAGGTTAATGAATACTTCTTGGGTAACATAGCATTCTGATTTCTGTAAAAAAATATTTTTTAGGTTATGCCTATAAACGGAACGGTTATTATATTATTACATAACTAATAAATCTTTTTATTGTCTTCAACTTTGTAATTTAATTTTATTCCATAACGATTTCTAGTTCCATGGGAAATCGCGTTTTTCCCTTTGAAATGCACACTCATCCTGTCCTTATTTCCTGACCTCAGATAATCTGTGAAGTTTATTTTGACTTTCTGTATATTTAATTTTTGTCTTCTTTTTCCAATGAGTTTCTTCCTACTATTTGTTCTATTTTTACTTACATATTTAAAAGCTTTCTGCACTGGTCAAAATGTTCATACCTTACATATTACCCAATCAAAGCCATTACAAGTTATTTTAGGCAAATCCTTTGTCAGAGCCATAACTTCTGGAGCAAAAGGATCGAGTTTTGGCCTATCGCATCCCTTGCCTTTTTCTTGTAAACAGTACTTCATGGCGCGGTTTTCAACTATACTGTAAGTAATTAAAGTAACTATCTACATGATTATATGATTGGACTACCTTGAGTAAATTAGACTAAGGATCATAAATTGATCGAATAGCTCTCTTCTGCAGCACAAAGACCGGCTGAATGTCAGTAACCTACAAGAGAATACTATAATACTGTGGCAATAGCTAAACTAAATAGCCGCTTTGCATCTACATTGACTGGTAGTTTAGTTTTTTAGTTTTATGGTTTTTTTAACGGCATATGCTGCAGAATTGAGCTTTATCGACAACTTGTCTATATGTGAGCCCTAATGGAGCTTAGCGTATAGGACTCGACCCTTGCTTAGCACCTATATAATTGGGCCTCCGGTAACCTCACTCACACGACGAAACAACGTAAGCATTGTTTCAAGTCGCTTCTCGGTGAGGCCGTAGTATCACTCCGGTCGAGCCAGCCCATTCGTGCCGAAGCATGGCTCTTCCACACTTAGCATGGCTTTCGGACACTTATGTCTTACGATTGATGTCGACAAATCATCAACAGACTGATGGTTGCATTAGTTTCTGTGAACTACAGATCTCATGTAGATGTCGCTAGTTATATCGTATTCCTTCAAACAAACGTTAAAATACATAATATGTACGTTATTTACCTAAGTGTATCTTCTAAGCCTAGTGGTTTTCTCTGTATTACTTCAGTTTCCGAAGAAATTCGCAATTGCGGAAGAATTCCTAGGATGATTATGGCAAAGAGAATGTAGACACTTAGCCGCCATCTAATACAGAACCCCAACCAGTACTTGAGGACCTGAAAAGTTGTTATTGTATAGGTCAGTGTAACATTTGTTGATCAGGTAACTAATAGCTTAGAAATTATAAGTCCAGTTGCATTACAGTTACATTTAGCTCCTTTTACGGACGATAGAGAAGCTATTAAAAAATTATAGACAATGCTTTCGATAGCGATACGAATATGTCCTCGATAGTTTTCTGCATCATAAGTCAATAGTGTCTAAATAATCTTAGAAAATGTATGTAGCATAAAAAGTCGTATTGGCCCGGAGGCTGGAGGTTTAAGACACTCGCTTGCTAAACAGCAAAACTTGGCCGTTATATGGTAACTGTTTCACGTATGTACCCACATCAAGCATGTGCGAACAGCAAAGGAGTGGAACTCCATACTATATTTTCTGAAGGGAACATCATCATCATCATCATCAACAGCCTATAAATGCCCACTGCTGAGCAAAGCCTCTTCTCACACGGAGAAGGTTAGAGCATTAATCAACACGCTTGCTCAATGCGGGTTGGCGATTTCAAACTTATAATTAGAAATTATAAGTCCAGGTTTCCTCACGATGTTTTTCCTTCACCGTTTGTCAGTGGTGTCTAAATAATCTCAGAAAGTACATATAACTCGGAAAAAGTCACATTGGTACTTGCCGTTGGTAGGTTTCGCACCCGCACCCTCATGCATGAGAAGTGGGCGTCTTAAACCTTTGGGCCACCACGACGTGACTGAAGAGTACAACCTGGGTGTATTCTAGTCTCGAGTGAATAGGGCAGGTGTACTTCATCGTAGACCGCATTATCACTTACCTACCAATGAAACGGTCGCGCGCACGCGTTACTCGCGCTTGCGTAGTGTGAAATTATCGAATTGTGCGCTTTACATTGCGGGTTCGTAAAATACCATATCACTAATACATAAAGATTAAAACGAATCGTTTTTGGTATCCGCTAGTGTTTAACTAATATATTATTAAGATTTCGGTTTCGTGAGCGTCTTAAATATCATGCATCTGGTGATTAACATGTACCGGTAACATAAAGAAGAAGTAATATTTTTATTTACCTTAAACATTTTTTTGAACATAGATATTGTCGACTTTAAAACTATATTGGGTTTCATAACACCAATAATTAAATACTTATTGAAAGTATATCCTTTGGAATAACTATCCTATTACTATGCGTACGGATTTTCTACCAAATGAAATTACATTTCAATACTGTATGTTTTTCAAACGAGCTTCTGTCAGATATTTGTTTCTAATTTATGTGGGGTTTTATTATAAGGTTAGAATATAATATATAACCTTCTTTCTCTCTATTCAATAGAAGAGCAAGGACGTAGAAAATAGGGTGGACGTAATGTCCCATATAAATGATTAAAGCACCAAAATGTCAGTGATGTATTTTTTAATACGATTTTTTAAATATTTCAATATTTTGTTATGACGATCAAAAGTGCCTTCTTTGTCTAATTGAAATAAATCATTTTGACTTTGTATTTATGCATGCGTGTACGTGCAACACCGTAATGTATGAAGTGTAATAACAGGCCATGTCACGCGACAGATGTCCTTCGTGTCAATGTGTCTGCCTTCTGCGTGTAAGACTGTAAAATAGTAGCCAGGTACCATAGTCGTTGTATCAAGAGACTATGGTCGCCGTTTTTAAAGTCCTTGTAGAAGAGAATTAAAAAAGGTTAGATGACGTCGGAGCAATGCTGTATTTTTTTTTATTTTGGCTATAATGTAGTTTTATTTGAAAAATATCTAAAATAAATAATTATGTTATAAAGTATCTACCCATGTAGGATATATGCCGTACAGACGTCCTTGACTTTTGCCCTACTTATTAGAGAGACTTAGGTCACCCAGCGCGCGATGCAGAGAGTTAGAAACAAAATCCGAAATGAGGATATTAACTAAAGAACTAGTGTAACCGATATAGCTCGTGAAAGCTATTAGGCTATTCTGTAACTGTCAATTCGAACTTTTGAACTGAGCTCCATCACATTCTCGCCCGTCATTGGTCGAAATTATTGTTACAACCAGTGACATGGCGAGTTCACTTATTATCTTCCGAATAAGGATGAAGGGTACGACAATGAAACATTTATTTAGTCTACCAGTTAAATAATGAAAAAATATTAAACACGTATTTTTTATGTTTTCGATATATGATACGTAAAATGAAACAAAGTTTATGAGTGGGAGCTAGCTAAATCATTTTTGAGTAGGTATAAAACGTATACAAGAGTGACGTCATTATTTTAAACCAATATATCGTCGAAAGTATTTGTTTCTGTAAGAGCATAAAAATTACCTGCCTAATTTTTCTAAAGAATCTACCAGGCGGACATTATAATAAAAAATGTCATTTATTCTATTGAAAGTTACAGAATAACTTAGCTGAAATGGTACTAAAACGGGTACTTAGCATAGTAAAGAAATCAGGAAAAGGCGTGTTGAAATATTTTCTATAAATAAATGTATCCAAATTATACACATCTCATTTATTTTGTTGTTTTCTAAAAAATGTCGTATATTATTTAATACAAGTTACTTTTGGTCAAATAATTAATTATTACAAATATCTGGCGTTGATTACAAGTGATTACAATGATGAAAATAAGTTCGTATTCAATATAAACATTTGACATTAGCTTACATCTATTTACATAAATGGTTGGCAGAACAAAATTTAAAATTCTTAGATTTTATCGAAAAACCTAGTAATAATAAAATTTACCTGACTCCTAGGATTGAACGTAAGATGTCGCACCTGTGGATACTCGTCCTTAGTTTTTAATTTAATGCAGATTATAATTTGTAATTTGGCACGCATAATCACCTAATACGTACTTAATAATACTTTTAATTACAAAATTCCTGTATTAATTAGAACATCCAATTTTACCTTTTAAGATTTAATAATAATTCAAATTAATACCCACAAATTAGTATCTCAGCATATTATGCGCACATAATGGTTCGAATATCAGATTGCAAGCATCGTATAGTGACAATATTAAGCAGAATATTATGAAGTATGGTTGTGAAAACGTCGTACGAGTAAACCATAGCGTGGATTTGTTGCTACGGGCTCCTACGAACTGAACAACGTGTACAGGTACACCTCTACGACCAAGGAAGGACACTGCAAAGCAAACGATATTTCTTTGCCAAACGAGCCAGTATTCTATCACAGTTAGGTGAAATATCAGTACTACCCTTTGTCGATGAAAATATTTTTTAATATAAGTCCTTAAATTCTTATGTACACTTTGGACTCACTATTAACATAGTATTAGAACACCCGAACTTTCCAAAACATTTTAATATTATTTATGTAATATATATTTTAACATTCGTATATTTACTTCATTTCATTTATGGAAACTTAAGTCAATATTTATTTTATTATAAGTAAATGATACAGAGGGTGATGCGGGTGCTATATGTAGGTACATAATATTAGTTCGATTCCAGTAGATACATGCAATATTATTAACTCACAAACATTCGATGTCTATACATAATTTCTAAACATTCACTTACATTCACATATACCTATGTTACACTAGATTAAATATATTTAAACACTCATATGTATGTACACTGGAGGCATTATCACGCGTTAATGTAGATGTCTTCTTTAGTTTTTACTGGGTAGTCTTTGGGTGGTAACTTGAAGCTATTCCTTATGTATGAGAAGCGATGGAAATTGTAGAAGTATTCTTTCCCGTCGGGAGAATACTGAGGGTATAAAGTGTAGGCTGGTAACTCAAAGTCGAGGTCAGTGAGGGAGTCCGCGAGGGCGTGCTTCGCGAACTCCTCCTGGTATCGTCATGACTGGTCCCTGTAGGCCTTGCGCTTCATACACTTCTCCTTCAGTATGTAGCATAGTGCTATAGCTATGAGAACAGCTATAGCGATAGCCATGCTTATGCTAATCCAGATTATCTCCTCGTTGATGCCGCTTGTCGATTTTCCTGCAGACAATAAATATTGCTTATTTATAATGCGAATGCAAGCGACATATTGAAGTCAGGTTATTATTGTAGTTGGTAATTAGTGTAACAAAATAGCAACAGATTTGCTGTTGCCGCAGGCCTGTGTATCAACATTGCAATTTAACTCCATTGTCCATTTTGTATTGTAGATGTAGTTCATAATTTACTGTACCTAACCCACTGCACTAAGCCCAGCCATCAAAAAGAAATAACAATGTAGAGAAAGCGTTACATTCAATATGAAAATTGTTTCTATTTTTTTTTATTTATTTACTTGTCCTATTTTTTTGTTAGACATTACATGTGTACTACAAAACTATTATAACTACTTTCAATATCTTTTATACAAGAAACCTTTACATTGTAATGTAAATACTTATTTTTTTTTACTTCTGTGCAAGTTCAAAACTTTACACCATAATGATACGCAATCTAATTAGGTTATTTGGGCTGACGTTTACGCGATGTGGCAATATTAATAACCCATTAATCTTACTCTCTCACATGGAACTGCTACGGCATCACAAACAGCTGTGTCCACAACTAATTTTAAGTTCAACTGACTTATTAGCTGTTACCGTCATAACTGCTGTGCTATTTTTTTCAGTTTTTTTTTCTACTCAAGTTGTTTCGCGTTGATAATAACTTTTGTATAGGACTTAAAAGTTTTAAATATCGTGGCTCTGTTTAGAGTAACCAAGGGCTAATTTAGGAGCCTTCCTAACCTCTCTAATCTATAGTTATCCAGGAAGCAACGCTGCTAATTACTTGTAAAAAAATGTCTATAAAAATAAATAATAGAGAAGAAAGCTATTTTTCGCAAAAGTTTTATGCGACGTCAGGTCGAAAGTGAACAAGATTCTCTGCACACAAAGTTGGTCAGCAAAATAGGTACTATGACCATCAAGTCACTAACCTCGTTTAGTTTCAGGAAGAATATAGAGAGAGAAGCCATTTTAATTACAGGGATGAAACCTTAACAACAAGTAAGTTAGACGTTTGAATGTTTGTTCGTAAGAGTATTTGTTTGTGCGGTCGTCGTTTTCCTTTTTTGTCTATTGTATTGGCGGCCATCTTAGCCTAAGTAACCAGGGATTTGCTTTTGCTCAAGTATTGTAAACGAGCACACTGGGTAGTTTTAGTTTACCTCTGTTGACTAATTACTATACTACTTAAATAATTTCGGTCGAAAAAGTAACGCAACTGCTACAGCTCTAACATAATATATTAGGTTACGTTAAAACTCGTAATAATAATAAAGTTTTCAGTATCTAGTCAGTAATTAAGCTAGGTACGTATCGGATGGCATAATTACAATACTTTTATCGTAACTTCGTGAATAAACTTTTCTACAACTGAAACAAGTGAAACTAGTGAAACAACAAGTGAAACAAGGTAAACAAGTGAATTTATTTTTGCAAATAGGCTACAAGGCAGCACTTTTACACGTCAATTTTATCAAGCGAACGATGAGGTCGATGAGGTCGACATTTGCTAACTGACTACTCTGAGAAGAAATGCCGAAACAAACTCAGAGGTCTGTCTCTTTTAAAGTCCAGACAAATATATATAAAAGATTTTGTGTGAGAACCGTGCAAGTTCTTTCTGTAGTGGTATTTTGAGGATAGAACAACAACAGTTTGAGCGGACCCGTTCTGAAGGCACAGTCAGCTTAATTAACAGATGAGGCTGACTGATTCGACGAACATTACCAACCTTAAGAATATTTGCGTCGGTCGCACAAATACTCAAACTTTTACAATATGGGTAATTAGAAAAGAAAAGAAGCACTAACAATTGTAAAAATAAAAAGTAAATGTCAAAGTAGAACAAAAAATAAAAATTTTTCAAATGAAAATCAATGTCACATTAAAATAATAATGTCAAATTGCACATAAAAAAGAAATGTAACTGTGTTACAAACATGTCAACATGACCTGTGTGGACGTTACATCAGCTTATTCCCAAGCAAGACTATAATTTAGGTAGTCTTTTATTTTATAAAAAGCTGTACTATAAAGTTTATCTTTAATGCCATTTTTAAATTTATTTAGACTCAAATTTTGGATATGGCTGGAAATTTTATTGTAAAAGCGTGTACTCTGACATCTAAATGAACCACTTATTTTCTTTAGTCTAGTAGTGGGAACAACATATTTGTTTTATTTCTCGTGTTGATATTATGTATTGTCATTACATTAATTTCTTTAAATAGTTCCCTAAGAGAAAGGAAATGTTTGATACTCTATTAGTTTACTTTTATTTTTTCTACTTTGTTGGTCGCTTCCATTGGGCCTTAGTCGCTACAAAAACACAGTGGTTTTCCTGTTAAATTAAAAGGATACAAAGAACAGTGCGATGGTGTAAAAATTAAATGAAGTACAGTTCCCTTCGTCTAGTGTTGCGTAGGTGTTATAAAGAACAATACAGAACAAAACAAGCAAGTTAGTCCTCACAGAAAATAAACAAGGGGACAAAATAGTCCAAAGCAATCTATTTATTTTTCAGAGCGTCACATTATTTATCCAAGTGTTATTTGCGCTAGTCTTACGAAACATTCACATCGCTAGGATTCTTCAAGCTTTGAATTGTCGATATACATTTATTTGGGAGTAAATAACAAATATTCACTCCGAGTTGACTTGTTTTTATTAGTACAAGATTCTTTCATAAACTTGTAACTTAGTTTCATATATTTTGATATGAAGTCTTAGTTAATTCAAATATTTTTTGCCTTATTTAGTTACTTCGTTCATTATATCATATGTTAAATTAATAATCCTGTAAGCCAAGATCTACAGTAGATACAACCATGAAAACACCGGAACACTGAAGAGACATGAATAACTGTGGTTCCCGCAACGATTTCGTTGCGGGAACTATTTATTTAAATCAGAAGATATTATAACAGGAGAAGAAAAACACGATAGTCTCTTCTTACCTCGGTGAATTACTACAGGAGATAGAATAAATTAAGCTCAAAGTCACAAAAAGAGACTACAACTGGGAGAAGCCCAGTCGCCAAGCACCACGGAAATGTGACTGAAAACTAAGTGGGTCCTATGTATGAGCTGTTATATTTGCTTCCAATAATAAGTATGACGCCTATACGCATGGAAATATGTTGTAAATGCCACAAGGTCCGTACAATAAACTACGCCTGACGAACCAATTAAATTATCTAACATAGTGTTACGTTCATATTGCCAGATACCACACTCCTAGAGTAGGTATGTAATGGGTGGACTGCTCGTATAACATAAACAGATATAATATGTGACATTGATAATTAGTTGATCCGAAGTATTAATAGTAATAAAATATTTACCCCCTTTTTTATTGGAGTAGCCTCCCATCTTGCCGGCGACCCTGGCGGTAGCTCCTCCAACCATCACCAGCACCATAGCGCTAGTGCGCACTGTGTGGCCTGTACAAACACAATCGCTTTTAGTTCTCTTGGTAAAAAATGTCATGAAAGCATTTATACATATTTCTGGTAGAGATACGTGAAGGTACACACTCAATATACTTCATCAACGTCGGACCGTTTCCATTCTCTTGGACTATTGTTTATGAATAATAGATATTATAATTATAGATTTTTAAAATGATCAGTAATGTTTTTTAAATAACTATCGTGAGAGATACTAAATTAACTAAAAATCGTGAAAATCCGTGTGACTTGAGAAAAATCGCGTGAAAATACTGAGGAATGCTGAACTGAAATTGGAATTCATAATTGATAAAATGTGGATGTCACATGTTGCGCTGGGCCTCTGCTAACGAGGAATAAAAAGTCCAAGGAATAAACACTATTGCAATCGAAAAGAAGATAGAAGATTATCGCGTAACTACGCGGTAACATTTGCTATTCTAGTTCAGTTTTATGAGGGTAAAATTACGACAATACTTTATTTATTTATTATTTATTTATTATTATTACATTTCAGTACAGTTTAAAATTTCTTATTTGCACCATTAAACCACAGCTGGTTTGTATTGGTACTCACATTCGCTTAACAAGTTTTATGTTATAAATTTATAAACCCATTCAATATGACAATTACGTTAATATATGTGACAAAGATATAACATTTTGGATACGTTAGATATTTTACAAGTAACAGTAAACATCCATGAGCAAAGCATAAACGCACTCATTAAAATTGCAAAGAAACAAAGTACTCAAAGAAACCGATACCGACACACACGGCACTAGCTAATGTTAAACTTTTGCAGTCTACCCCACAATATGCTACATTCGCATTATGAGTTCTCAGTGTGTAACCGGTTCTCGTCAACTTAAAAAATTGTAATATACAGGCTGTTTCCTACATTTTGGTTGTGAATAATTTTAGACCATGTTATTTATGATATTGTGGTAATATTTTTTATATTTCTGTTTATAGTTTTTGGAGTTAATTTCGTATTTGATATTTTGTGGAATTTCATTAATTATTGTGGGGATTATAAATTTAGAAGTTCGTCTGCCATAATAATTTTTAACTTGAGGTATTATTAATTTATTTTTGGTAATATTCCTAGTGATTATTTTATGCGAAATGGGTACTTGAATACTTTTATTATTAAATTGTTCACTTACGTATAATGATCCCCATATTGTCGGCTTGCTCCCAGAAGTCGGAAAAGAAAATGAGCTTCGTGTTCACATTAATATAGTTATTGCTCCTCTAGTGCAGCTTGAGGAAGCATCTGTAAAGTAAAAATAATTTAATTCATATGGTGAATCAGAGCATGGATTCAGGTAGATTAGATACGTTTTAAAATTGCAAGCAGTTGGTTTTGAATGAGCTTACTGCAATCCCCAAGTAACTTACCAAGTGTGGGGCTTAACCCCTTAGAGGGGTTGTCTACACTTGGCCTTTGTTTAGTAAAAAAAGTATACCGAGGGATGATAATGGATGGTCGAATCTAAGAGCGTAAACACAAAGATCTAGGATCAGCGAGACACTTTATAATGCAGAAACATAGTATAATAGCGCTTTCCCGCCACTTGGATTACCAAACACACATTTTGTCGGGTTTGTTTGACCTCGTACGTCGTCTAGACTGTCCTTATATTTTTCGAGAGCTTGCGTAATCTACATAATATTCTACGCAGTATGAATACATTTCACAATAATATGCCATTTTTTCTTATTTCTGTTTCATATTTTTTACTGTGATTACCCTTTTATGTCATTATGACTTTTGTAAGTTGAGATTGCATTCCATCTTTTTATTTCCACATAATAATACTGCACGGTTGGTATGGTGGCTGGGCAACCGGCTGCCGCGCAACGTGTCATGCACATAGCAACTGGAGCAAAGAAACAGAGCATTTTAAAGGTAACTAAATTGCATTTTATACGACATATGTTACCAATTAATAAAATACTTGTATCAGCAAATATTTAACAAGAAATGAAAAAGAAACAGTTGCTTTAAGGCTCCGTTGCTTTCCTCCCAAGTATTGTTATTTAGTAGGCTGAAGTAAATGTTCTAATTAAAGTAAAACATATATTATGCTAGTAACTTGTAAGATTTTGTATGTCTACCAATAATTCCATCTACCACTGTATGTTTACCATGGCATTATCATTACCCGCAGCGAAGATTGATGTCGTCAATCAAGTAAATTGGGGGCGTAAGCATTACGCATTACCCTGACTGGTCTATACAAATGTTGCGAATTCAGCAACAAGAAATCTAATAACACGATGTAACATCACGACTTTTGTTCTCTGGCAGTGTCAGCAGAGGCTACATTTTGTAGCAATGTAAAAATATTATTTAATTAAATAATAAAAGAGTTGTAAAAATGTCCTAAATTCTACGAATCGCTCTTTGTACGTACATTCTGAATAATATATGCAATATTAACAGTAATATTTACTAAGTAATACTAATATTATAAAGCTGAAGTTTGTTTTTTTTTTGTTTGAACGCGCTAATCTCCGAAACTACTGGTCCGATTTAAAAAATTCTTTCTGTGTTGGATAGCCCATTTATTGAGGAAGGCTATAGGCTATAAAATATCACGCTACGATTAATAGGCGCCGAGCAGAGCGAGTGTAACCGCGCGGAAGTACCTAGTAACATATATAACACAAGTATAAAATGAAACAGTGATTTCGTACAGTACCTATCTCCATTGGTTAATTAAACTTTTGCTTTGTTTAATAAATAAATAACTTTTACGAAGCTGAAGAGTTTTCCGTGAAACAAAATTGTTTTTCAGCAAAGTTTTGCTTGACAACTTTTTCGTGTCCCAAAGGTAAAGTAGGAAACTCTGTCAGTGCCTATGGACACTAATACTTAAGTATTGTATACTTGTTTTTTATTCTTATTTTTATGGATACCTATGCTGATAAACGAGCAAATCGATCACTTGATGGTAAGCAATCGGCGTCACCCATGGACACCTGGAACACTAGAGGTGTTCCAAGTGCGTTTCCGGCCTTTTAGGGATTAGGAATTCGAAGATTGTTGGGCAGTCGGCGACTGGAGAGATTGGGGAGGGGGTTATGGTAATTGGGCCTCATTCATATGACGAAATACAACGCAAGCGTGGATTGTCGTGGTGTCACTCCGGTCGAGCCGGCCCATTCGTACCGAAGCATGGCTATAACGTTTTGAGACATAACCAGTATTATTACTGGACAACAATAACGATGATTTAGAGTTATTAAATGTGTATGTTTTAGAAACCGTCATTTTTTTCACCTCTTTTTTTATTCGGTCGTTTAATTAATATACCAAAATCTTTTGACATGTGTAACAAACTTTTTTCTGAAAACCGCATTAAAATCGGTTCAGCCAATCGCGTAATAATTGCGCACAAACATACATACATACATACATACATACATGTAAGTCAAACTAAGAACCTCCTTCTTTTTTTGAAGTCTGTTAAAATAAAACTTATCTTGAAATGAAACCACTCTACTTACAACAGAATGATTGATAGATAGTCGATACCCCACTGATATGATAAGAGCATGGATAAGAAACAACTAGGAAAAAATCGTGCCTACATAAACTTCACTTGGTCACCTGTTATGGCGGATAGAACTAGGGATGTAACTTTTAAAACTGTAGAAATATCGATATTTTAGAATTGGTTTTAATTGACTTATCAAAAAATATCATTATTTTATGATTCATCTGGATTTAATTTTTATCTAGCTGCTAAACATTACCAACGTATTAGCGAAATATATTTAGAAGTTGCTGCGTGCACTGTCACTCCAGTCGATCGTGCCTATACATTCACATCATAACTTTCACGATACTTATGTATCGAAATTCATGAAAAGGATTTTCCATCAACTGGTCAATATTTATATACTTAAGGTTAAGTAATTTTTGAGGGTTGAAAAATAAAACTGTATCAAAGTATTCATAAAATCAAGATTTATAATATACAATATCTTCGTATTTTTCGTAGTGTTTCCCTGTAATGTAATCTGCAAAACCATCTTTCGAGAGTCTCCAGAACTGGTTCCAAGTTCATTTTCATGCACATATCTGGCTAGAGGCTGCAACATAAATAGTATAATTTAACTTACTTGATCCAATTGAACATAGATTTTTCTATAGATTCTATAGGTACTGTACTAAGCTCTGAACGAAAATGTTTGTACATTACAATGATAGTGATAGATAGCGGAGGAAAACAGAAACATATAGGTACAAGAACCCGGTTAGTTATGAACTTAATATAAATGTTAAATAAAATGTTAAGTTTGCACCTCTTCAAAAAATGCTTCCAAAACTAATATAACAAAACACATAATGAATCGTTTACATTATGATTTACCAATAGAGCTTGTAGCGATAGGGCCCCATCACGTAGATTTACTATTAATTTATTGTTCGGTTAAAACATTAATCTTCAAAATAAAGTTAACAAACAAAGATATGTTTCCTTCTAGTATCTATATTTCCCACATTAATTATTTCCAGCCAAGAACTTCTGCGTGGTTCAAGCACAAACTAAAAAGAAAATTTATAATATTATTAAAATTATCGGCAGAGTTCGACACATTCTAATAAATACTCTAAAAATACCCTAAAGTTATATTTCATTGGTTTGTTTCATTTGAATCCGTCGAGCGGCATTTGATAAAAAAATCAATTTTGACAAAAATGCATTTCCCACAATATTATTCCTTATCTCATATTGTACAAAAATTATTCTCTATTGTATTAATTCTTTATTACATTACGTAGGTATTGACGATGGTGGAATTTTGTCGATAAAATGAAATTTTTGACGAGTACTTAATGTTTTTTGTATTTTGTCATTATGTCAAATTAATGCACTATATCATTCAGAATTTAGTATAGTTCTTTGTTCTACTTTTGACGCATTTATTATGTACGATAAAATTATCGATACGGGAACAATCATGTACATCACTATTTTTTAATGAAAATTGTTTTAGACGTATTTCAACTAAAATTAATGAAAATAAGCACTGCATTAGTTAGAAAAGTATTGTATTTAGTCAATTTGCAGCAACCACACTTGAATAGTTTGAAAAACAGAGATATTTTAATGAAAAATAACAGTACTTACCGATGTAATGTTACACCTGCCGGTTTACTAATATTTTTAGTGCTACATCCAATAACACTGCACCCGGGCATAGTTCTTCTCACTAACCAATAATTTCTTTGTTTACCACGCACAAAAACAACAGGAATTCTACAAATTTTCGTAAAAAAATATTGTTGACCAATGCTTTGACAGCTGATGTACCACTGACATGCACTGATAACAGGGACTAAGATGGCCAATTTGGCACAACTAGGTTTTTCTGATGACGTCAAAAAATTATGGCCAGAATGACAATAATGTGTTGTCTCTTTCTGCATAAACAAAGAGACATAAGTAAAAAAGAAACAACAGTATGTTTATGAATTTACCGTCAAGATGGATCCTAAATTCTACCCGTAGACAATAGCCAGACATCTATGTTATATTTATAAATCTATGCGATACCCACTCAATTGTTTTTGCTGCCAAGTTAGAAAAGAAAATTATGTGCCAAGACTGCCAAAGAAACTGGCAAATGGTGACAAAATGGGTCGCGTATCTGTACCGCGTATAAAATATTTATCGATGACAAATGACATTGAAGATAAGGAATAATGAAAAATTTTTGGTTCATTTCTCTGGAGATGGAACAAATTTTTTCACACCCTGAATATTGGTATTATATTATATTATTAAGAGTTATAAGCCATTAGAGAGCCTTTAAATAGTAATCGTTCATTTCTAGAAACTTCGTATGTCGACACTTTTATAATTGTGTACCTACTCGTACGCACTGATTTCTATATTTATCAGTCATGATTTCACGATGTTAATAAAAATCAATTCACCCCAGCAGGCCTTGATTCCGCAGTCTCTGAAAGTCCCTGTATTGGAGAAGTGTTTGTGTTGGAGTTTCTTCCTCGTTCTTCTCCATTTGAAAATTTTGGAATGAGCACCCAGCTTCACCTAGCTTCACTGACGGCCTGATTTACAGACTATTATTTATTTTGTATTTGTTGACGTTTCAAAAGTGCCAAAATAATGGTTTAATTGAAATAAATGCTTTGACTTTGACTTTGTTATAGTGTTCGTGTCTCTAAAATTATGTGAAACTATAATAATTAAGGTATAAAATTATGTATGAAAATGTGTTGCTTTGACCTCATTT